TCTCTTTATTCGACGAGAAAATGCTTCAAAACGGATAAAAGTATTCTTATAAAACGCACAAACGGAAAAATTGCGTCCTAATTTAAACAAGAGGCAAGATGGGACACAGGATTATTTATTCTCGCGAAGTAGACATTTGAATATTTCAATCGTCGATCCTCGAAAACCAACCCGCGATCCCTTCTCGGCGAAACACTTGGGTACGCAGCATCCCGATCCAGTGCAGTTTCGCGGTGCCCCGGGCATCGGTACCACCTGGTAATTGCTCGGATAATTCTCGTCGTCTCCAGCGGCACCGTAACCACCATGACCGCGCCCGCGACTGCCACCGTAAGCATCGTCGCCTCCACGACCGCCACCGTAAACGTGCCCACTTCCGCGGCCGCCACCGTAAGGGTCTCCGCTTCCACGACCGCCACCATAAACATTTCCGCTTCCACGGCCATAGGAATCCGCGCCTCCCGCGCCGTAACTTCCGCCGTAACTACCGCCATAAGAACCTCCTTGGCCGTAATTATGAGATCCTCCTCCTCGGTCGTTTTCGCCGGCGCCTAAAAGGGGATTGCGAACGATTTAAATTATTCGAGTGATTTGTCGAGAGGATAAGTCAAATACAAATTGCAAATCCGGACACGCAATCCGCGCGCTGTACTTCCTCCGAAAGCATTTTTATAAACTCGTATAAATGCGTTATGCAAACATATTGCTTGAAACGAGAACCGGAGAAAGATACGGGGAAAAATACGATATTTCCAGCAAAAAAGTTCATTTCATTTTACAACATTTTAGAACGCAAAATGTTTCCTGTATAATTCTTTTTTATACGATTTAAAAATGAACGTTTCCTCATATCGTTGCTAAAGTGTAAAATGAAACGCCCCGTGCGATCCGTCGTAATTTCCGAGGTCAAGATCGATTACCGCTGTGTGCCTCGTAATCGCCGCGACCATCGGGATGACCTGGTCGATTTTCGTCAATTCCGTATCCCGACGCGCCGCCACTTTCAGGATACCGGTCGTAGTCCTGCGGTCCTCGATCGTAAGGAGATCGGCCCGAGGGCACTTGACCGTGAGGATCGCTCCTGTTTCTATAGTAGCTCCACTGCCGAGTCCTGTCGTCGGGACTGTAATGGCCAGCCGTGAAACTGCCGTTCCACCTTTCCGGATCCTCGTATCCTAGACAGGCCAATCAGGAAACATAATGTCGGAATCCCCGACGGCTATTTCCGACATTTACCCCCCCATTATGAATACCACCAAATTTTAGGGAACGAAAGAATGATTCGTTGCACGCGACGAAAATTGATAGTCCGCTCGAAGACGAATTGTCTGCACGAAAGGGAACCGAGGCACATATATTCCGTTTCTCGATACGTTGCCTCGTAAACGTATCCATGACTGTGTAAAATTAATAACGGAATAAACGTGTCCCTTGTATAGAAGTTTTTTAACTGGATGCATAAAGGAACCATTACGCGGATTTTATCGTGAAATTACCAGGTGCAACGGTAATCCCAATCGCAAAATCTACAACCGAAGTTCTCGCGTTGCCGGGTGACGTAAGGATGCTTGATGGGAAAGAAGGACGTAATTATTGTACTTCCTCCTATTTCTCACATAAATCATAGCAGCGAAAAGCATGAGGCGGCATGTTGTCCAAGTACCTTCGTTGTCCGTGATAAACTCTCTAAATCTATCCCTGTCTTCATCTTTGAATCCGGGCGGACTGTCGTCGTCGTCATCGCCAGCGCTTACAGGCCCTCCGATATCACCTCGTTCGTTCAGTGGCACGACCGGCGGTGGATTCCATGATGTGTGATTATATTGCTAAAACAAATATCCGGGGATGAAAAGCTCCGTAAATGGAATTGGAAAAGTACCGGCGCACCGGCGCGATCAATAAAACGCGATATCTGCCGCGTTTGTGCTAAGGGTACAGGTGTGCGCGGTGAGAATCACTTGCAAATCGCCGTTTGTCAAACTTATAGAGCGAAGGGTAAACCGCTGAGGGCACTGCGGTGTACAGATTCGCGGCGTTACCGGGCGTTATAAAGATAAAACAAGATAAATAAGATAAAGTAACGCCCGCCGGGCATTAGTAGGCTTTGGGCTACGTGATTTTGGTCCGCGGTTTACCCCTCGTTATAGAGTAATGCGTTCGGGCAATAGTACTGCGATTAACGGCATGCGATAGAACAGAGTTAGGAACTTTAAAAGTTTATCTTCTAAAGCAGCAATTTCTCGCTCAACAGCCGCTTTTTATACTTTTTGACGCGCAAGATTGGATCTCGATAAGGGCGTATCGATTAAGAAATACAAGTTTTATTGTCATAAATTTATTTCACAATTCTCCGCGCGTACAAACGACTTCTTTTCTCGAAGGGGAAACGGAAAAATTAATTTAACATTTTGCATTTGATAGAAAATTGTCGGCAAGATATGTAAAGCGATCTTGGTGATTCATACATTATTCAGGATGTTTCAATTATTACGGAGTGTCTGAAACTTGGGACCAGAATTTTAAATTGGTCAAAGACTCTTATTAAAAAAGTAAACGTGTATTTCAATTTATTTCTATGTATGATATATTCTATGAATCCAGAATTAGAATATTACGTAGAGAATCAGACTAGCTGGAAGATATTTATGTGTTTCTTGATAAATTTAAATTAAATATATTCCATGTCGTTAATAAAATTAATAATAGGAGACACATCTTCTCCTTAATGTGCGCAAAATTAGCGACGAGATTGCTCCAAAAAGCGAGCGATGGTCTCATATAACGTTAAAGCTGGGTCCCCCGCGTGCGCTTATTAAATGGTATTCTTCGTAGATTTATAGGTATGCGTTTCATGACACAAGCGGCGTGACCGTAAATTTTTAACGAGCTCGCATTTCGTGTGGCTAAGATTTACGCTTTATCCACCGAGTGCATTGTTCTTACAGCCTCGTGGCAAACGGTACGACGGTACAAAAAGAGCTGCTTTATCGACCGTTTGTACGAGCCTGAAGAGAAGATAAAACCGCCGTTGGTGGTTACTTCTAATGTCCATCGTGTCTTTCTTCCTTCATTTCTTGCGCTTAGCAGCCAGTTCTACCGGGATTAATTATGTTATCAGATTCGGGACATTGTTGAAAATCTCATTTTGCAACCAGCAAAGTCGGACGTTAACGCTTAGCTCGGGCAATTTCAATAGGAAACGAATAACAGAAAAAGTAACGACGTTGTTCCAGCCGAAAGTTCAATCAACTAGATATTGATTAGGAAGTTCGATTTATTTACCAGTCGTTTAATTTATTTGATCTCAAATATCACGTTTGTAGAAAATATCTAAATAAGCTAATAGATTATATTACATCTAATTACGTACACATTACTTCATTAATGTAGTACTCTAACACTGTAATTATTTAACGTTATAATTAGTTGCTGCAACATATTATACTTCCATGTACATAATACAATTAATAGATTAATAGGTAATATTAGAAAGAGCTTGAAGAGGCAATGAAATCTAATTAATGAATTAATAAAGATATAACATATTCATTAGCTTCTTTGCATAATAATTACCTTTAGTTTCGAACCCCGCATCGCGGTATTTAAAAATTACGCATTGTTTAACGTTAAAACGCAGTCGAGTCCAAATATAGCGTAACAGAAGCTATTTTGTTGAGAGATCAAATTTTATATTCCGCGCCGAGTCTTTAACGCGAGGAAGAAACGCGGTGTAGATCCGCAAAAAAAATGTTTCCTCCAGCAAAGAGCGCCGCGACGCGGCGAGCGCGTAGTACAGATTTTGCGGTGAATGCGTCATCGATTTCCCAGAAAGTCATTGTCTTGCCCTCGTTTTCACGTTTTTATCCTTCTTTTTTTCGTATTCCCGAGGATGGCACGCGCTGACAGGAAGCGCGGGGAGATAGTCGGTTATCGTTCCGAGATGACGTACCGCCCTCGGAGTGGCTGCGCGTCTGTGCCGCACATGCACCACGTACGGCAATAGAGAGAAAACGACGATAGTGTCCTTTTAAAATTTCATTCATCGACGTGCCCTACCGAAGAACGGCCGGCGTGTCGCGTAGACGCGAGAAATCACTAAAGCCCAAATCGATTGATAAATCGCGGGCGCGGGCCGAAATTTCGAATCGGAGCAACCGAAGGCCTCGTGCGATTGCAATTATTCATTTGTCTTTCATTCCCAGACGCGTGATTTATTCTGGATTTAAAATGTCACATACAAGAAGGATTATACGGTCATAAATATAATATCAGAAAAGTATGACGTTAAAGTAAAGCATGATTCAAATATGATCTCTTGTTTTCCGGACAATAGCTATTATATTTGATGCTCTCAAGTTTCTTACTCGAGAAAATGAGAAAATCCAAGAAATTATTTAAGAAAAAGGGAGACAAAGGTCTAGTCAATTATGTCCGCGATTTTTAAAAAAAAACGAGTGACGAAAACGAATCGATTCCTCGTAAAAGAAATCGTGCTTGACATTCTCTTATTGCAAAGCGTATCGCAAATTAGGTTTCGCTCTTCTCAAATGATCTTGTATCGTAGATTAATCTATTCATTGAACATCACTGATCCTGGATCTAATTTCTATTCAAGTGGACTTGACCTATCAAAGACCGATGACACAGAGATTCGCCTTGTATGTCGTGCAAACAGCTCGCGTCAAAGCGGCATGAAATCATGGATTCTGTCTCTCCCTCTCTCTCCCTCCCTCTCTCTCTCTCTCTCTCTCTCTCTCTCTCTCTCTCTCTCTCTCTCTCTCTCTCTCTCTCTCTTCCTTCTAGATTTTCCCTCTTATCAAATCCACTGAATTTATCGTCAATTAAACTGAGCAAAGCGTCCATCCATAGGCACGAAACTGCATAGCCAAGGAAAGAAAAGTGGAAAATCTGAGAGTCAGCTTAGTCGTGCTCCCTTGATGATAACTTATGTTTCTTTCAATTTATGATGGGGCAAAGATTTGTCCCGTCTTCCAAAAATTTGATCATTGGTATGATGCTATCTCGAGTCAAATTTATATTAATAAACTAAACTAATCAGGTACGTGTACGTATTTCCAAAACTTATAGTCTTTAAGAGTAAAAATTATACTCTCAAAGACTATAATTTTTGGGAATCCGTAAAGTTTTATACATTATATGCTGCCTTTTATTGTGTGTACTTTTAAATACGAGAAATTGTTTATGTCTAAGTCCATCTAGTATGAAAATGGATACATAACAGAGATACACATTGTGTGTGTATATATATATATATATATATATGTATACAGGGTGTCCTGAAATTCGCGAATCAAAATACCATAGCAAGAATGTCGTCGAAAAAATAAATTAAAAAGTTATTTGCCATATTTGCCATTTTTCGTTCCGAGCAGTAGTTTTTTTTAGATAAAAAGGTTCAAAACAGGCCAATCATACATTACGGTTGAACGGAAACCTGTCCGTGAGTCGCGCGTCGATAGTTTAGTGCACTAACACTATTGACGCGCGACTCACGGACAGGTTTCCGTTCAACCGTAATGTATGATTGGCCTGTTTTGAACCTTTTTATCTAAAAAAACTACTGCTTGGAACGAAAAATGGCAAATAACTTTTTAATTTATTTTTTCGACGACATTCTTGCTATGGTATTTTGATTCGCGAATTTCAGGACACCCTGTATATATACATATATATATATATATATATATATATATATATTCTGTTATTGTACCAGAGGTACGTGAACCCTCTCTCTCCCTCTCCCTCTCCCTCTCTTTCTGTCTCTCTCCCTCTCAATATATAATCAATTTCGACTTATTGCACGCTCATATGTCATTACGCTCGCACAGATCGTGCAAAAGGGGAAGCAGAAATCAAAGCCGTGCGCGGAAATTACTCGCGTCGGCCGGTAGACCTAACTGGCAGGAAAGCGATGAGAGGGTGGAGGTTTCGTCTCAATGATAAACCCATCGTTCAACAATGGATCGACCGCCCTATAGATAGAGCGCGGCGCATCGCGCTGCGAACCTGCAAACCGTGAAATTATCCCGCCCGACGCTACACGATTCACGAGTTATGCTGATGATAACTGCCAGGTTGAGGCTGATGCCGGATGATACGCGGATTAGAAGGCCGTTTAGCACTTTGGATCTCGGATATGAATCGCGCGCGACCAAGCTGCTCTCTTATTGTAAAGTATGTGTGAAAAGCGTCGGGGCGGACGGATGGGATATCGCTTTAAGCCCGTGTCGGACTACCGCGTTGCGGATTGAGGATTGCAAATTGAAGATTAGAATTCAATCAGAACGGATTAAAATTAAATTTATCCGACTGGTCGAATTCTAATTTTCAGTCTCGTGTCGCAATCTTTCAATCTCCGTGCGTGGTCTGACACAGGCTTTACAACTGCGAGTCTGCGAGAAAAATTATAACCGAATGCAAATTCTTACAAGATTTTATATACGCAACAACTTGTTCGGTTAATTGTTCGTTCGTCGCTTCGAAAACGCTCCAGATAACGAATAGAAGAGATATTTCAAGAATCACATAAAGATTGCCAAGAATAACAATCGTAGAGACGTGCAATATGGAATATCAATTTTGTACCGTAGAATTTCGCTTTACAAGTCTATAAAAATGTATGTTAAGAATTAAATAGCAATGCGGAAAATGAACTTTAAATTAGGTTCGATTCCATCGAAACCGCGCAACTGCTGGAACATTTTATATATTGAGAAAAGTTGGTATCCTCATTATCGGAAGGGTTCTTTTCTCTTGCGGTCACTTTTTAAAAAAAACCGCGCACGCGGAGAGAATTTTCTCGCAA